ATACCTCACTGCAAAACTGATATTATACTCTTTACAAACAAGATTAGGATACTAATGAAATGTATGAATTTAGGCTGAGCTGGTGGCTCAAGCCTATAATCCCAGCACTTTGGGAGGCTAACATGGGTGGATTGCTTGAGTGTGAGACCAAGCTGGGCAACACAGCAAAACCCTGTCTGTATACAAAAATACAAAAATTAGCCAGGCACTGTGGCATGCACCTGTAGTCTCAGCTACTTGGGAGGCTGAGGCGGGGGGAATCACTTAAGCCTCGGAGGTGGTGGTTGCAGTGAGCTGTGTTTGTGCCACTACATTCCAGCCTGGGTGATAGAGTTATACTCTCAAAAAAAGTATAAATTCACATGTACATGACTTAAAAATCGTAATTCAGGCCAGGTGCAGAGGCTCACGCCTGTAATCCCAGCAGTTTGGGAGGCTGAAGCGGGCGGTACATGAGGTCAAGAGATTGAGACCATCCTAGCTAACATGGTGAAACCCTGTCTCTATGAAAAAATACAAAAATTAGCTAGTGGTGGCGTGCATCTGTAGTCCCAGCTACTCTGGAGGCTGAGGCAGCAGAATCGCTTGAACCTGGGAGGTGGAGATTGCAGTGAGCCAAGATCGCACCACTGCACTCCAGCCTGGGTGACAAGCAAAACTCCACCTCCAAAAAAAAAAAAAAAAAAAAAAAATCATAATTCATTAATGATATGGAGCATGAACTACAATGGGTCATGAAGATATTCATTTTCATACACGGTAAGATTAACTTTGAGCTTTTTGTACGAAAACATCTACTTTATGAACTTAAATCTGGCTAAAACCACTGAATTAAATTTTCACATTTATGAGAACTATCATAGTTAATCATTAAAAAAAACCCTCACTCAATCCATGAAAATACTCAGAAAACAATACTGAAAACGCAGGCTCCCAAGTCATCACATCACAAAAAAAGCTATTATTACCTGTGGCTAAATTAAGGGCAGTGCCGAAAATAAAGAAAACTGATTACTCATGATGGTCATAAAACCCATGCCAGTCGGAAGTGACACTTGGACCCCAGTTACTCCACAGAGAACTACAATGTACAAGTTAATGGCAACAGGATTATATCTGATTCCCTTTTCCCCCAGTACGAGAGCATCAGGGTCTCACTAAGGGTAACAGGTCACCGTGTTCGGCTGTCTCTTTCTTTGGTCACCAATGCAAAGACAATATTCAGTGGAATTTACAAAGGGCTAGTTTGTTTATGAATAGGCTCCCACAGAGGTTTTCAAATTGCTTGGTGCAGCTCCTTGAAGGGATAGGGATCCAGGAGTGCTAACTGTGGGGGAGCAGTGGAGAGTCCATATAAATATATATTTATGTGTATGAATTCATAGAGAGACGCATTCAAGGATGGGTAATAAACTGTTAATGGGTAAACATCTCAGGATAGAAGAATTTCAAGTGAACTTTAATTTCTCTTTAATCTCAAATTATTTTCAATGAGAATATGTAACTTTTGTTTTTCATCACAGGAGGGAAAACTAAGAAAAAGTTGACTACGACAAGAGTCTGAGACAATCCAGGAAAAGGCCTCTAGGTATAGAAACATGCCCAGATTCCTTAAGAGTGCAGGACATCAACCCCACTGGAGGGTTTGCAGACTCAAAGGCATAGAGGAAAATCAAGGGGGAGTCAAGAGGAGGAAACTGATGAAAGCCAAAGTGAATCAACTATTTGAGTGAAAACCCCCAGGGCTGAATAACAGTGTATCTCCCAGCTGCAGAGATAACGTGGTTCCCATCATCACATCAGGGTAGGACGGGGGGTATGAATGTTGGCAGCATAGTGTTTCACACGAACGTACTCACTTGGCCTGAATCTTAAAAAGAAAATGACCCAAACAAAGACATCACAGGTCAGAATTTGAAAAGATAGCCAGGAACAAAATTTCTGTTTAGTGGTAATTTTACAAAGCAGACTTTCTAGAAAGCTAATTTTCAGATTTGTGGGGGGAGGGTAGGAAAGCATGCTATGTATTAGATTAAGCTTTTCAAAAAAGATATATTTCTAGTTAGCTTCAGTTCAGCATTAGTCTTTTAAATAAAAATTCATAGTTCAAGTTTGATGGTTATAGCCAGATGCAAACTTTTTTTAAGTATAATTAATGCTATAATGAAGACTCATCTATTAAGAATGGATTAGAGTAGCTAATATTCTCCAGGAGAAGGTAGAGGGGTATCATAGATGAGCATGCCATATATTCTAAAATGTTCCTTGAAAATGTTTAAAACAAACCCATATTTAAAGCACTTCTATTACTGAGAAAATTAAGTCAAATATAATGCTAAATAATTGGGGCATGGCTTTACTAATACTACTAGTTGAGTGGTGTATAATACTGCAGAGCAAGGGAATTTCTAATTGATTTGGTCTAGTTTGAGCTAATTATCAAAACCAAAATTATTCAAACTTCTACAGTGTTAATTGATTCAGTATATTATACAATCTAATTTATAACTGTAGCCTCTCTCTTAAGAGTATCCAACTCTTGAACTCTCTCAAATTGCTAAACACTTTCCTATATTCAAACAACGCAGGGCCTTGAGACTTCTGGGTGCTGCCTTGTGGCAAATGTGGCCCCTGCCCTCATGGACACACAATCTGGAGCAAGGGAGGGAAGTCAAAACGCTAGAATGTTAGAAAACCGTCAATTTTATATGTGAACACTAATACAAGTACTATAACATGTATCATATGTACAGTCAGGCCAGCCTGTGTCACCCGACAAAAGTGTCCAGTCAGAAAGTTGGAACCAGTATTTCTCAGGCAATGAATTTTGGTTTGAATCAGTGATAATGAAGAGTCTGAGAAAAACGTAAACCTTGATGCTGCTAATATTCATCAATGAATTACCTAGCAGTACTGTTAAATTATTTATAATTCAAAAAGCCTCTTTTGTTTGGAAAGACATTAATTATTACTACAACCCATTCTAAGGCTACCTAGTAGTTACTGATAAACTGTACCCAAAGGAACCGTATTTTAGAGGATACAGAAGGATAAGAGAAAAATCCAGTAGCGTTTGGAGTTACCAATGAAAATTCTCAACAGAGGCCGGGCATGGTGGCTCACGCCTGTAATCCCAGCACTTCGGCAGACCAAGGAGGGGGCGGATCATTTGAGGTCAGGAGTTCGAGATCAACCTGGCCAACATGGTGAAACCCTGTCTCTACCAAAAATTACAAAAAATTAGCCAGGTGTGGCCATGCACGCCTGTAATCCCAAATTACAGGGTGGGGGTGGGGTGATGCTGAGGCAGGAGAATCACTTGAACCTAAGGGTGCGGAGGTTGCAGTGAGCCCGAGATCACGCCACTGTACTCCAGCCTGGGCGACAGAGCAAGGCTCCATCTCAAAAAAAAAAAAAAAAAGTAAAAGAAAATTCTCATCAGAACAGTAATAGGAAATAATAGCTCTGCATAAAGTGGTGGGACAATGTAATTCACAATCACTATTCAGTAATACGCAATTTGTCACTACTTGAGGAGAAAACAATGACAATGATGAAGAATATAGCTGGTACTAAATCAGACTGAAAAATTCAAAATGTTAAAACAAAAAAAAAAAAAAAAAAGAAAAAATGGATGATCCAGAACAGTTAATTCTGTATTTTGAAATGACAATAGTAAGAAACCATTGTTTTTCATTCAAGATCATAAATTCATACACAACTATGTACCATAACCCTTTAGAACCCTTCTGGAAAAGTGTTATGTAAATTCACAGTGCTTCTGAGAGTATAAGAGAGAAAAATGTCCTCTTTGCTATGCTGCTCATGTGACTCTAGTCTAGAGGCTTGGAGACCTGGGCTCCCTCAAGTCTTGTTTTTACCATTAACTGGTTCTTAAGTAAGAACCAGCCTCTTAATTCACACTAGGAGATGATCTGTAAACGAATTCCTTTCCTGTTCAACTATGAAGTTCAAATGAGATAATATATATAACCTTAACTTTGAAAACTATAAATGTCTCACAAAAGCACAGTATTACCTGTGAGAGTGCATGTGTCTACATGTACAGTTGTGTACATGTGATGGTCCAGTGGAAAATAAAAACTTCAGAATAACAGTTATAGTAAACCTGTACTGAGCACCAGTTATATGGTAGGTACTGAGCCATTTTCCTGCATGATCTCAATTAGTCTTTTTTCTTTTACATTTTATTTTTAATTGACAAATAATTGTATTAAGTCTTTGTAACAGCTTTATGAGGTATGAACCATTCACTACCTTTCTCATTTTAAATACGAGATGCCTGAAGGCTAAAGAAGTGAAGTAACTTGTCCCAAATTAAACAGAGCTAGTGTATGTGACTCCTGAGTGTATGCTCTTAACCACTGGGAAATAACTAAACATACAGGTATAAAATGAAGAGGCTTGGAGTGTGGCTTTCCGTTTGTTCATTCTGAATCTCCAGCACATCACAGGAGTGCCTGAGTTACAGCGAGAAATGTGTGTGTTTCCACCAACACCTTTTATGATAACCAGCAAATTCTGGACTTGAAGGATAAAAAGAGAAATCTTTTACATATCAATAAGCAAAGAGGGAATCCAGAAAGAATGTACCGTTCTTATTATAAAGGATAGTTGGCAATGAGAAACTGGAACCTTAAAAAAATGCAGACATCCTTTCATTGTTCCTATTCAAACTGAATCAACTTTATCAGTTCAATCCTGTTTGGTGGAAATCAAACCAAAAGAAAATGTAAAAGCATTGCTTGGAAAGCTAATATAACATTCTTCAGGCATTTCTGATTAACCAAATGCCAATGAGATGTGGATGTAAAACCAGTGATAAATGAGGAATTTCACAATGAATAATAAAAAATAGTTTCAAAGGCAGGCTTAGATTCTCGTTTTTTAACCATCAATTAAAAAAAAAAAAAGTCATCCTGACCATAAAAATTTTGGTACCACCATATATGTACCCCCCTAAACATAAATAAACTTACCTTTGGTTTTTTGATCAGCAGCCTGAAAAAAAAAAAAAAAGAAAAAAACTCTTTAGGAATAATGTGTAGAATGTACACATCTATGAAAGTTTATAAGCAAACTTTTAGTATTGAAAATTTTTAAAATGAGTTTTTGCCCAGTTAATTTATGACAATTTATTAGTGGGAAAAATGTGTAACTGTCTACATGCCGTTGATTTCATATCAATATTAATCTAAAGGCACAAAATTCTATCTGGAGCTCATTTAAACTCTGTAATTTTAACAGGCTCTAACAGGTATACAGTTTAAACTACAAGATACATTAAACTAGGTAAGAACAAAGACAAATGGCATAACTTGGTATTTTAAATGCCAAAAAATTCAAGCTTGACTATAAAGTTTACAGTAGGGCTTTTATTTTTAATTTTTACTAATAGGATTCATAAAAGAACATTTGCCAAAGCTGCAAAAACAAACAAACAAACAAACAACATTTCTAGCTTTTCTAATAAGATCAGCTGAATGGCCCTTTCTTCATTTATTAGACATGGTTGTTCGGGACAGTTTATTTTAAGTAGAACAACATGGACACATGTTACTACCAGCAACTAAAACACAGCTTCCTTAAAACACAGCTCTAACACTTCCACTTCCAAGTTAGACATTTATGGCTGTCACCTGTATTTATTTCACCGGTAGAATATCTATTATTTGATAATTATAGACTTGGCGTATTGATTTAAAATGTAACAGAATGAAACCTTGTCATGTAATGGCTATGATGATGCAAATGAGACACACAATGATACAAAGACAATGAAGTAGGAACTTCAGCCAAACCTTTTTCTGAGCACCTTCCTTCTTTTTCTTTTCTTCCTGCTTTTTCTTTTTCTTTTCTTCCATCAAACGTTCCTCTTCTTGTGTTTCTTGCTCTTTCTCCCTATTAAATACAAAGAAAACTAGTATAAGTTTGATGATCATGTTAAGTCAAACAATGAAAAAGTATTAGCTGCTTCAAGTCTTGAGTCAGAATTTCGCATATGGAATACAGAAGGACCCTCTGAAAAGGTGCTAGAAAGGGACACTTCCCTAACAGCACTGCAGGTTGCCCTGACTTCTTCAGTAGCCAGCTGTCTCATTCATTCAGCCCACATTGTTGAACACTAACCCATCATCAGGCATTGCTGAGGATAAGGGCATGATATGGAGTAAGATACAACTCCTACACTCAAATAGTCTGTATTTGAGAAACACAGACCAGTATTACTCAAAGTACTATCTCAGGGACCACCATCATTAGAATCATCGGGGTACCTATTAAAAAACATAGATTCCTAGTTTCCACCTTAGCAAAACCAAATCAGAATCTTTGGAGGTGATTCTTATGCACGCTATAATTATGTTTGTTTGATAAGCCAATTTTATTAAAAATAAAGATTCCACACAGCATGGTGAGCTAGTATAAAGATACGCTGGGACACAACATAGAGCAATTCTGCTCAGAAGGGGTCACAGCAGCCTATGAGCTAGTGCTGAAAACCTGTAAAGGAGTTTGGCTGGATAGGGTGTTATGTCAGTGACCGAGTCATCGACTATTTGCTCCAAAGTCACCCTTAAACACTTCCTCTGCAATAATGACAGAGTTCCTTTAAACAAATCTCCTTTCAGTGAGTACAACATGGAGCTTTCTCAGTAGAGGGCACCCTAGGGACACTGCAGGAGGAAGGTGCCCTTCTGCTGTTTCTAGCTGCTGGGGGAAGTGGGGGTAGGCGTGTGGGTGTGAGGCCACCCTGCAACGGCTCCAGCCATGGGCCCAGCATGGGCAGTTTCTCAGCAACCTTGTGGCTCTGGTGTGGTCTAGTGTCATCTTCTCATGACCATCTCAACACAGACACTGTGGGCTCAGGTCTTCTGTCACTCACCCCATCCACAGATTTGTCCCTTGTGATCCTCCCTAGCCTTGGGGAGGGGCCTCCTTCCAAAGTTGGTCCTTCCCTGGACACTTTCCTCAGGCCTAGGTACCATATAGTTTTCTATAGCTACCCTTTTATCACAGTTTAATTATTCCTTACATCAAACTTTCCTAGTTTCTAAATCCCAGTTGGACCCAGACTGATACAGACAGGAAGGATTTAACACACTATGCAGAAGTAAAAACATACACAAAAGTCTTAGCAAAACATCATCATCCACCCATGAATGTTTTGAATGTATTAATTTTGGAGTTTTTAATTTGTAAATGTGTTTTCTATACAACTACATGCATAAGGAATTTCAATCTAGTGTCAGCTAATCCATATTTAAATAACTATCATAAGAAAAATTTAAATTACATGGTGGTGGGTGTGTCTTAATGAATATTTTTCTTTAAACAGTGGTTCTCAGTCTTTGTCCTTCAGAATTACCTGAAGAGCTTCAAAAATCTCCAATGGCTGCAACCCATGCCAGGGAAATCTCTGGGAAAGGAACTCGAGCACTGGCAGTTTTTAAAGCTTCCAGATGTGACTCCATTTTCAATCAAGGTTGAGAAAACACTGTTTTTAAAGGAGGTGTGCACGTGTATCCAGTTTGGAAAATGATTATTCATTATATTAGATGATACCTTCCAGGGATGTTTTCATGCTAAAAGGCACAGAGACACCAAGAAATCTGCACTTACAGCCTTCCTATAAGGGACAGGCAACCCCTGTGAGTGATGGTTTTGCTATTATCAGGCTGAAGCTAAAATCTAGGGAAAAAGTGAACAAAAACCAAGCACATAGTAACTGTCCACTGCTATTGTTATATTTTCTTAATCTACAGTACAATAAGACCCTTAAGCTACCTCCCAATATTACACTTAATAAAGTAGACAATATAAGCTAACTTTTAAAACATATTTAATAAATGGAATAAACATGATTTTTGCTTAATTCTATTAATCTACAAATTAGTTAGAGCTAGTTATTCCCTCAGCAACACAGTTCAGATTTTACTTTAATGGTAAAATAGAATGTTGTCAATAAAGAGCCCAAGTAGCCATGAGATCTCACACTTTCTTACCTGTGTTCGTGTTTATATGACAAAGCCTAATTCAGATATTTGCTCTTTAACAAAGTTTCTCTAATGTCCCCCTAGCTGCTTAGCAGTAATCTCTTCTAGCTCCAATCCTGTGTTCAATTTCTGCTATTTTTCATTAATAATTTTTAAAAATATCAACATCTAATCACATTTTTACTTTATAAATAGAGTTTTGGGTATCTTTAAGAAACTTCTATGACTATTTTTCACTTAATGATATACTGCAGTATGCATGGGGAGGCTAAGTTTGTTCACATCTCTACATGATACACTTAAGACTGCTATTTCTTGATTCATTTTTAATTTTTATTTTATTTTTTTGAGACAGGGTCTCACTCTGTCACCCAGGCTGGAGTGCAGTAGCACAATCTTGGCTCACTGCAACCTCTAACTCCTGGGCTTAAGCTATCATCCGACCTTGGCCTCCCGAGTAGCTGCGGTTACAGGTGGGCGCCACCACACCCAGCTAATATTTGTATTTTTGTAAAGACGGGGTTTCTCCATGTTGCTCAGGCTAGTCTCAAACTCCTAACCTCAAGTGATCCACCCACCTCGGCCTCCCAAAGTGCTGGGATTACAGGTGTGAGCCACCAAATCCGGCCTAATCTGAGACCTTAACAGTTTAATTCCTGTAATGATGACTGTGGATTTGGCTCTTATATCACACTCATCACTATTTTTAGTTAAATCAATAAACGGCATCTACTTTATAAAGAATATGCAAATGTGGTTGGGTGCTGTGGCTCACGTTTGTAATCCCAGCACTTTGGGAGGCCGAGGTGGGCAGATCACTTGAGACCAGCCTGGCCAACATGGCAAAACCCCATCTCTACTAAAAATACAAAAATTAGCCGGACGTGGTGGTGCCTGCCTGTAGTCCCAGCTACTTGGGAGGCTGAGGCAGGAGAATCACTTGAACCGGGAGGTGGAGGTTGCAGTGAGCTGAGATCACACCACTCCACTCCAGAGGGAGACTCCATCTAAAAAAATATGTAAATGTTTGCTACAGAACTCCGTAGTATACTGTGATTACATTTTATTTTTTGTGTAACTTTTTTCTACAGCTCCAAATTGTTCCTTCTTTTCCTCTGTTTTCCTGGCAAAAATTGTTTTTGTTTTTCATGCCTCTCTTCCCACCTCAAGTTAAAAACACAGCACTCTTAGACCCCCTTTCCAGAGGCTTCAGCGCAGCTCTGTCTGGGGTGGGAGCACTCTGCTAGAGCTTTCTTACAGCCTGAAGTTACATTTCTTTGTAGTAAAATAGATATTATGTAACACTTACCATCTTAAGCATTTTAAAATATAAGTTCATTAGTGCTACATTCACATTGTTGTACAACCAATCTCCAGAACTCTTTTCATCTTGCAAAACTGAAACTCTGTCCCTATTAAACAGCAACTCTCCATTCCCCTCTCCCCAGCCACCACTCTACTTTGTCTCTATAAATTTGACTACTCCAGGGACCTCACTGTGGTTCTGAGTTGCAATTCCTTAATGTTTAGTGACATTGAGCATCTTTTCACATGTAGTTGGCCATTTGCATATTTTTAAAGGAGTCTATAGTTATTCTCTTATCATAAAACTTCCGTTTGGATCACTGCATGATTTCTATCCAACCCAGGCTGATACAGTGGAAAGGTGGAACAGATTAAGCAGGAGCAATGGTACATATAACAGACATCATCACCCACCCATTAATGTTGATACAAATTTCTTAACTCAGTCATCCCATGACTACTTCTCCTTGATTTACTCCCTCAATTTGCTGAAAAACATTCAAGTATCTTTTCCAGAAAGGGTGGGGGGAAGTCAATTTTTAGAGGCAATGCATGTCTAAAGATAGTTTCAGGGTACCTTTCTATGTGACTGGTGGCTTGGCTTGGCTGAGTATAAACACTCCAGGCTGAAGGTCAGTTTTGAAGACCTGGTGTCACTGTATGCTAGCATCCAGTCACATTCAAGAGAAATATGATGTCATTCTGCTTTTCAGTCCTTTTTAGGTGATTTTTTTTTTTCTTTTTTTAAGACAGGGTCTTGCTCTCTGACCCAGGTTAGAGTATGGCTCACTGCAGTCTCAACCTCCTGGACTCAAGTGATCCTCAGACCTCAGTCTTCTGAATAGCTGGGGCTACAGGTGTGCGCCACCATGTCCAGCTAATTTTTAAATTTTTCGTAGAGATGGGGTCTTGCCTGCCCAATCTGGTCTCAAATTCCTGGGCTCAAGCAATCTCCTGCCCTGGCCTCCCAAAGTGCTGGGATTACCAGTGTGAGGCACCAAGCCTGGCCATGCTTTATTTTTTCCACTTGATCCCTAAGGTTCTGAAATTTCAGGGTGATGTGTCTTTTCTCCCCCATTATTTGTGTGTGGCATTTGGCTGATGCTTTTAGCTCATACCTTTCAGTTCTTTATTTTCTTGAAAACACCTTCCTTCTGTTTCTAAATAACAACATACTGAACCTCCTGGATTGATCACCTGTAACTGTGTTGTTTCTCTTATGTTTTCTACTCTTTTTCAATTGGTGCTTCTATCTTGAGGGTGCTTGATTCAACTTGATCTTCTAATCCTTCTGCTGAGTTTTTTATTGTGATGTTTAAAATTGTTAACTTTCTTGTGCTCTTGAATGCTCCTTTTCCACAACACCCTCTTCTTGTTTTAGGTGACCAAAATCATCTCTATTATTTTCTCTGAAAATCTTCTAAGTTTTCTGCATATCTTTGTTCCTTCCCTGGATGCCTCTTCCCTTAGACTCTCTCTGGTCTGAAAGCCTTTCCACAACTCTGTAGTAATCCTTGGTTGTCTGTTCA